TAATACAGTTTTACAAATGAATTATTTTTGAGTTAACAAGTTATTTTGTATTTAAAGAGACTTTATTGCTCTTTGCATTCTTTTTCATCATGCATTTGCTTTGCTGTCATGATTTGTGCTTAGTAGTTGAAATTTTGCTTTAACAAGTAATTGTATTCGTTATGCACAAACTTACATGTTTGCGTTAATATTGTTGTCGTTTTTTTCTTCTTTTTCTTTCTTGTTTCAAATTATTCTGTATTCAAATTTAATTCTCCAATTTACAATAGATACGTCTAAAACATTATTATAGTTTTTCTCTTCTGAACTTCAAATTTTAATAATACTTATTAAAGAGCTTCATAATTCGAATAGTTATTTAACTTTTATACTTTATTTAACCTGCCTAGACTAGCTTTAGCTAATTGCAGGTTAGACTTGTAATTATTATTATTTGAAGTAATAAACTATCTGTTATCTGTTATCGATTTTTTGTTAATTTCGTTTATTGCTTCAGCAACATTTATGCGAACTKTGTTCTTTTATTTTTTCATTGAATGATCTTAGCAGCGAAGTCCAGAATGATTCCATTCCTTCAGAGATGAACGAATCATTGACAAGTTGKGAGGARAAATTTGAAAACGCACAACTGCAAGATTTAAATTTTGAAGCGAGTTTGTTTCATATATTGAACTTCAATCTTTTGTTAAAGTTAACTGACTTTTTTGCATTTTAGTCATGCTTGACTTCAACACCAGAACACCAGCCAGCAGTGTTTGAAGAAACTACCAAAGTGTTTCAAGTTGTTGAGGTAACATTTTATTGACAGAAATGGTAAATGTTATCAATATTAAACATTTCTAAACTTTATTTATCTCAACTGCTGATATTCATGAAAATTATTCAGCTGTCGAAATAACTCCTCCTTTTGTCCAGGTAATTTAAATTGTTCTATTTTGTTTTGTTTTAGAAACTTTGTGTTTTATTTCCAGATGGTATTTTCAGCCTTTTTTAGTGTTTAATTATTTAATTTTTGCTTTTATTTTTATGTTTTCAGTCTAGCTTTTCACTTCTCGAAAAGCAAGCACCTGACGAAAAGTTTATATATCAACTTAATTCATACCATGGATTTCAAAAGTTTTTCTTTGGTTTTATCA